AACCTTTACCATAAGCATCAGCCTGCAGCGACGTGATCAAATTAAATTCCAACCGTCAGCGAGCATCGTACTCAAAAATTGTGAGTGAGTTGTTAAGAAATCCAACTACCAACATCGCATCCAACTCTACTTTTTTAAAGATACTCTGCACATTTCAACAAGCATATCGTCGGTATCAAAATTAGGAACTTTAATATATGTTTATTTTAGTGAATACAAAAACATGTATAAAACTTGATACGCGTCTGCTATGAGATTTGTAAATTATTATCATTTTTATAGTTATTTATAATTGAATTTCATATAATATTTTTATAATTTATTTTATATAATTTAAGGTCGATTTTATTATTTATTTTATTAGTCAAAATTATGTTAATTTGTTTTTCAAACAAAGATGTTATTTTCCCAAGTAAAGTTATTACTTCTTTTTTTTGATAGACACAAGCGATAATATATATTCTAAAATATTTCATCCATTAGATAATGGACGTTCAAATACACTGTAGTTGTTGATGCTCGAATTCGAGATATTTAGAGATAACAACAATCCTTTTAATCACTGAGATCATTTGGTTCGTGCAAGTTATTATTATTTTCTATAAATAAATATAACATTAATATAAAAGACATTTATTTTTTTAATATTTTTTTAAAATTTATATAGAAACATTATTTCTTAGAGTTAATTGCATCACATGTCGCCAAATTATAATCCGTATTTTAAATTGGTCTATAAACTTTTAAATATTCCAATTTTATCCCTAATCTATGACTACCATTCTAAATTAATACTCAAACTTTTGAACATTTCAATTTCATTCCCAAATTATGACCTTCATTCTATATTAGTCCTTAAACTTTTTGAACATTCCAATTTTATCCCCAAATTCATCAAAATATGAAATTAGTTTCAAGAATAGTTTAACCTAAATTTTGTTTTTTCCCAAAAATATAATAATATAACTTAACCTAATGATTTTATTAACAAGAGATTTGGTTAGTATATACATGTTTGGGATGAAATTGGAATGTTCAAAAATTTTGGAACCAATTTAGAATAAAGGTCACATAGTATGAGGATGGAATTTAATCATTAAAAACTTTGAGAACTAATTAAAAATGATAGCCATGGTTTAAGGATGAAATTATAATATTTAAAAGTTTAATGATCAATTCAAAATGAGGGTCATACTTTGAGAACACGTGATACAATTAACTCGAGTTAATTGCACCATATGTCTGCAATATATAATCCCCATTTTAAATTGGTCCTTGAATTTTCAAATATTTCAATTTCATCACTATTACTATCATTCTAAATTAATCCTCTAACTTTTGAACATTTTAATTTTATTAACAAATTGTAACCTTCATTCTATATTAATCCTAAAACTTTTTAACCATTTTCATTCACAACTTTTAGAAAGCAAAAAGATAGATAGCCAAGGCGAGACTCTTGTCGTCAAATCACACTCCAGTGGTATGGGTCCCACACATGTTTGTCCGCATCTCAACTGGCATTATATTCTCCAAAACGACGGCGTTTGCAATGGTTCAAAAGCACCTTTGTTTTCATAACCGTTTCCCTGGCAACATCGCTCACTTCCTTCAAGGATATTTGTATATCTATAAATACTTCAGACCTGAAAATCTCTAGCCAATTCTCTGCGCTGAACTCCCTCCATCTCTACGGCGTCGTTTTTGTTATTCTTCCATCTCCATCATTCAATGGCCAACGAACAAGTTCGCGTCCTCGTTCTGGCGCGTCAGGTACCGCTATGTTCCACCGCTCAAACCCTTTTCTTAAGTACTTTTTTCCTGCTGAAACCTAGTCTTTAGATTTAGTCATTTTTACCCTGCGATTCCGGTCTCTCTTTTCGGATGCAGCTTATCTTAACTAGAACTGGCATCTTTTTTCTATTTCTTATGTTTGGATTGGATGGATTATTGTTTAAGTTTGAAATAATTGATCTGAAATGTACTTTAGTCTCCCATGGATCTAAGCTTAGTTCCTCCAGTAGTATTGTCCAAGTTTATATGCTAAATGATGGATGATTTGCTTTGAAATTTTCAAAAAAAAAAAAAAAAATTGAACTTCATTATACTTTGAAATAGACATGTCAATCCTAATCACATTAATCTAAAATGAACGTGTTAACTTGTTAAGATCATAATTAAAAAATAAGTAACGTGATCGGTAATGGAAGATAAGTTGTTTATTGATGATATGTATATATGGAGGAATTCTCCATTTTTCGTATTAACATTGAAAACTAAGTACTAATGAGGGAGTTGAATTGAATTTGCCAACTGAAGCTCAAACTGTTTTCTTTTTGGTTTTCCAAAATGATTGACTAAATAACTTCGTGTTTTGTTGTATTTACAGGACAAATTGGGTATGCTCCTGTATCCATGATTGCTAGAGGAGTTATGCTGAGAGCTGAGCAGCCTGTAATCCTTCACATGCTTGAATGGAGTCGAAATGGAGTTGGTGGATGCTGCTTTTCCTCTTCTAAAAGGTTATATTTTCATTGTGGCGTGGTTTTGGGTTTTGAATGTTGCCATTTGAGATGTATTATAGATTCTATAGAATTTTATGGTTATGTGATCTAACCTTTTGGTTCTGGGGTCAGGTGTTGTTGCTACAACTGATATTGTTGAGGCATGCACTGGACTGGAGTCAACATTGCAGCTCCAAGGAAGGACGTAGTGTCGAAGAATGTGTCAATTTACAAGTCACAAGTGTCGGCCTTAGAACAGCATGCAGCTCCAAACTGCAAGGTGAGGAAATTTTTATCACATTCAAAACAAAAACTTTAAATTTCAGTTTTAGCTTTGTTTATTTAATTGCATTAGTATATAAATATTTTAGAAGTTTTACTAATGTAGATGGCCATGGGCGCTATATAGTTTGTTGAAATTCTGAATCTGTATTTTATTATAATCATGTGAAGCATCTGTACTGGATTCTGTGATTTGTTACTGATTTGGCAGGAATGGACCATCATATGTTCTTTTAACATCTTAAAGTTTACTGAATGAACTGATTTAAATTCTCTCTATCTGTGTTACTCTGACTCTTCATCTGAAGTACATGTACCCAACACTTATGTTCGACGCATATTCGGACATAGGTGTAAAGGTAAAATCCTCCCAGTACTTGGAAAAATATAGAAAATATTGAGCATACCTGCGTCGAACACACATCCTTGTCCGAAATTTCCCCCCAAGTCTGAGTAACAGCTATTCGCTCTGCAATGGCATATTGTTTCTTTCATGAGACCTTGGAAGACCTCATTGGCACTTAAAAGTTGCCAAGTTTATAGATTAAGATTTCACGGACTCTTTGACCTTATTTGTATTTGTTTGCTACAGGTTCTGGCTGTTGCCAACACCAATGCATTGATCCTGAAGGAATTTGCACCATCAACCCCTGCAAAGAATATTACCTGTTTGACAAGGCTGGATCATAACAGAGCATTAGGCCAAATCTCGGAGAAACTGAACGTCCAAGTTGCTGATGTTAAAAATGTGATTATTTGGGGTAATCATTCATCAACACAGTATACTGATGTTAATCATGCAACTGTTAATGCTCCATCAGGGGAGAAGCCTGTTCGAGAACTTGTCAAAGATGATGCATGGTAAAGAAAAACAATACTTACATTTACATAGTTTTGTTATCTGATGAAATGGATATATTTGAATTTTGGAGCTTCATTTTGATATTTCTCATTCATCTAAAGGTTAAATGGAGAACTCGTTACCAACGTTCAACAACGTGGTGCTGCAATCATCAAAGCTAGGAAACCCTCGAGTGCCCTATCCGCTGCTAGTGCTGCATGTGATCACATACGTGATTGGGTCCTTGGTACACCAGAGGTTTGCAATGTTATGAATATCTTCCTTTTAACAATACTTTATAAGTTACAATCTTATTTATGTTGTTGCTAATATATGGAGTTTTCTGTGTGTTTTCCTATCAGCTAGACGAATATCAGGCGGGATGGATTTTTTTTTAAAATCTGCCAGCGCTTATTGTCATTTGTTTTATCTATTTTTTTTTTAATATTGAAGAAAATTAAGAATTCCAGTTTAAAGAAAACATAAATTTCAAGTAGCATTGATTTAAGTTTTAATAAATAATATTCTTTACAAATAGAGTTTTCAAATTAAAAGAAAAAATATATTTTAGTGATTTTCTTAGAATGGTATAAGAATCGAAAATTGATGGTAAAAGAAAATAGAATTAGGAATTTTATCTTAACTTTCTTTTTAAATAGTTGAAGGACATATTTTTTTCGACGGTTATAATTCATATCTTTGGTCTACGCCAATGATAAAACAATACTCGCATAAACTTTCAGTTGCTCAAAGTCAATTATAATATTAATATTAATATTCGAAAAACGGTTTGTTCAATGCAGTAAATGTTTTTCCCGCAAAAATATCAATTTAATTCAGTTTATGACATTACTTCAACTAAGATCCCTTTTAAAAGTTGCATTTTCATTGTTATTCATTCGCATGTTCAACCTCAAAATCTCTAGAGTTTATATCTTCGATCAATTATAGATTCTTAACATGACCAATAAAAAATTAAATTGCTAAAAAAATACTGACAATTTTAAAATTCGTCATAATTTATCGATGAAAATAAATATTTTGTCACGTTTTTTATATTAGCTATTGATTTTGATGGAATTTTTTTCCGTTGAAAATTTTGTTAGTTTCAATAAAAAATATTGATTTAATTTACGATGGAAAAATGGCTACGTCGAAAATTAGAAAATAAAAATTAAAAATGGCTACATTCTTTCATCTCCTACTCATTTTTATTTCACTTTGCCATTTCTCCTGGAACAAGTTCATGAATGATCAATTTTATTATAAGCACATAAAATAAGCTTTGCAAATAAAAGAATGTAGCGTAATAAAACAAGAAATTCTCATTATCATCCTTCTCTGTAAATTTGTTAGTTTGGGAATCTCTATTTGTTCTAACCCATCCCAATCCACTAATGGTTTCCAAGTCAATATTTCCTTTTGCCTCTTATTTTCATGTCTGGCCACCCACCACCGAAATATCTTCCCCACAATTGTCCCTCTGAATGAAACCATAATCTTCCTCACAAGACTTTGCTTTTCGAAGTGGTTTACTTTACAGGTGTGCAATGAAATCTCCCTCACCTCCAGCTTTAATGAGCATGTCGTACCAAAACTCCATCGAATCATCATCAACATTTTGACGATCAATCGAAAACGAACCAACTTCATCGGAGACCGGTTCGAAGTTCAATAGCGGAGTGGCCGGGTTATCGGACCAGAAACTTTCATCGATTTCCAGGAAACATTCCCAAGAAACCACCATGTTTTCAGCCTGGATGTTGTCAGCTTCCCTATGATCACTTGTGTCGGTAATGGAGGAAATTTCACATGATAATGATGATGGGACCTCGTCACTCGATTGGCTTGTTATGGAAGGCTCGGATTTCGTCTTGTTTTTGGACTTGGGGTTGCCTGGATTGGTCTGGTATTGATTGAGTCTCTTCTTCAAGTGAGTGTGCCATACATTTTTTATCTCATTGTCTGTTCTTCCTGGCAATTTCGCTGCTATTGCTGACCACCTGAGAGTTTTCAAAAACCAAAAATTAGTCTTTAAAAATTAAAGTCCAATTGATAGCAATTTAATGGGTTCCCCTTAAATTTGAACAAGTTGAGAGAACTAGATTCCTGGAATTAGAAGCTGAAGGACTAAATTTCAAAAGTTTTGAAGATTATAGGGGTAGGGGAATAATTAGTCCCTGAAAATAGTAGTGTTTTTTTTAAGCCTACCTATTCCCTAACATTTCATGGAGTTGAATGATGATTTCCTCCTCTTCAAAAGTGAAGTTCCCCCGCTTAATATCAGGCCTCAAATAGTTTATCCATCGTAATCTGCAACTCTTCCCGCATCTTAGAAGACCTATACAAACAAGACGAATCACAATTATCAGATAAACCGTAATATGTGTTGGAAAACTTTCCCGGGAAAACTAGTTTATGAACCAGGAATTCAAAATCTGGTTACGTTTTCAGTTGCTTTGTGTTCGTCATGTTATTGACATAGCAGATGATATCATGGGTATCGCAATCGTACAATAACGATTTTAGACGACACCATTATCATTATACAACATTAGCTATTCCAATAGCAGAGGGCTATTTAAATCCCTGTTACGAACCAGAGAGGAAAGAAAGAAAGGAAAATTACCAGCTTGTTTGGGTAAGGCTCGCCAATTTTCATGGCCATGTTTTTTAATAAAAGAGACTAAAATGTGGTCTTCTTGAGGAGTCCATGGACCTTTTTTCAATCCCATCTTATCACAGCAAGGAGCTCTCCCCATTTTTGAAGATGAATCTCTGCAACTCTTTGTTTTTTCAACGAAGCCTTCAACTTATGATTTCCTCTCTATGTGGGATATTTATATTCACAGAATTGCTCGGAAAGGTCAATATTCAAACAACTGGAGGTGGGCAATTTCCAGGAAAAAGCTTTTTTTTTTCATGATATATTTTCTCTCTCTCACAGCAAAATTCCAAAAAAGCGTGTGTACAGTTTATATATATTATATTACCAAAAGTTTGAACAATTACTTCATAGGTTTCTCAATTTGTCGTGTAAGTCCATTCCTTGACAAAAGTTTCAGGTACTTATCCAATTAAACATGGTTAGCTCTTTAAATTAATAATATTTAAGCAGAGCGTGAGGATATGACGTTTTTTAAAAGGAAAATGAAGCGGCCAAAGAGAGCTTTGAAAACGACATTTCATTGTTGGGTTCTATACTTTTTTTTCAACCATGTAAGGAGAGTACTATGATGTTCGCATGGACAGCTTGCTATTTAATTTTAAATTGGGACAATTGCAACAAAAACGACAAACTGTTTCTTAAAACGCACGTGGCTTAAGCCTTGAATAGTTTGAAATGAGGACATGTTCATTGGGGACGTTGTTTAGTTATATGAAACTAAAAGGTCTTAGAGTTGACAAAATTGATACTTATATGGTTTTATGTTCAAAGAAAATGCGTATTTGAATACTAAAATCTTTAAGATATATATGAAATCCTGAACACCATTTAATTGAAATACTTCTTTTACCATTTTAAAGAAATTGTATCATTTCGAATCATTTCGAGCTAATGAGAAGAATCAGCTTTTTCGTCTACGTTTGAAGCAGTTGAAAATGGATCAGTTTAATTAGTAATCTTTGTACGGATGTCATGTTATATTAAAATTCACAATTGTTGACACATATGTATAATATATGTTGTTATTATAAATATGATTAATTGATTAATTATGTTACACGTATAATAGGTATTATAGTGTCATAAATATAAAAATGTAGATATCATAAACTGTATTTATAATTTGATGATAGATAAAAATATAAATATTTATAATATGATTTAAAATTCAGTTTATATAAAAAGACAGAGATCCCAAAAAAATAGGTTAACTTATATTACTCTTATAATTGTCAGAGAGTCTTTACGGCAAGAGCAAACATATCTTCTTGGAAAATCACAATCACCTTCTAGGTGATCTCCAATAATAGATTCAGATACGCTTTCGTAAATTTAGTATCTTGTTCTTAATGATTTAGTATGATAGATCCTGATTAGATTAATTTTATGTTTATGTTTTAATTTTAGCAAATGGTATCAATGTCTCATTTCATTGAATCTTTAATTTTTTTTGTTATTTTTTTTAATTTTTGGATTTGATTTATTATGAAGATTGTATGAATAAGGTTATATCATTAAAGTATTACGGTTTATTTCTTCATAAATTATTTGTTTAAATCCCTATTGGTAATTATGTGATAACCTTATTATGTAGTCTTCTTATCAATATTCTTGTGACGTCTTCTTCTCTTCTTTTATTTGTTATTTAGTCGGTGGCAGCACCAATCTTAATATTGATTGTCGACTACTGGTGATTATTATTTTACTTGTTCTTTTTCGTATTATGTCTTTGTTTTTTCTTAACTTTTTTCACTTTAAATGAGAATCTCAGTCCTTGTGACATGCTTTTCTTTGCTCTTGTGGCACGTTCCTTATGGTTTTCGTTAAGTTTTTCGCATACTTCTACGGTCGTGTTGGTGTTTCCACAAAGATCCTCATGACATTTGTTTTCTGATTGACTTGTCGGTGGGCACGTATTGTCAAATCCTTTCTTTTGTAAATGGTCTTTTGTTAATATAATCATAATTGTGTAGCGAAGCAGTCTGCCAAATTGTTTGGTTCGCTCACCACTCCTTTATCACATTATAAAGCGTCTCGTTCGACAAAGACAAAGAGTTTTATGAAGGTTACTTGATTGTTTTGATGTTTGGAAGGTTTCATTCTCTTCGTGTCTTTGGGTTTAATATTTTTATTTTATGTATGAGTTTTTGGTGACCATTGTCTCATATTTTCTCTTTAGATGCGTTGTAATTTTGATTCCTCCATTTTTATTAATGAAATTCAGTTGTCATTGTTAAAAAAATTGTGCGATAACCTTCATAGTTTTTAATTGTCATGGATAAATGTGATAATCTTTAAAGTTTCTAACAGTGCAATAATTATTCACAATTTTACTATTAAATTAGGATTTTTAGTTTTCATGAATCTATGTACCCTATATCACAATTGCAAGGGAATTTCATGATAATAGTCAACTTAAATTTATGGGAATAGAGATTTGCCTTTAATTATGAAATATGTTCTTTTAATTTAGGGTGAATAGAAGATAATATTTGTTTAAAGATTCTCAATTATTGACAATGAACACTCATTTAGATTATAAATAAAATTATCCTTAAAAGAAAATGACAAGTATGAGTTATGGGAATGTAGAAAACCTTTCTATAACTACTTAAAAATGGGGGTGTCTTGTAAAGATAAAGATTTCATTATTGAAGGAAATGAAAATAAACCCCAAAATAGTGAATTGTATTTTCATTGGTTATATAGATTATAGCAAGACATATCAATATCTTGTGTATGAATCAAATAACTGTGAGATTCACAAGAACACGATACTAGAGTCAAACAATGCTTTGAAAATACTTGATCAAAGGCTATCAATAAAGATAAGTCTATATGTTCAATAAGAGGTTGAACAAGAGATATTGTCATGATAAGTGATGACAAAGGAGAGTGAAAAATGTGTATATGTCAAAATTATAGACGTCTTATGTTGTTGACATACTTATTGTTATACATAATAAAGAAATAGTAAACGTCCCAAAGATATGTTAAATTCAAGATTTGACATGAAAAAATATATGAGGTTGATTGATATAACTTTGGACATTCAAAATGTAACATCTTTTTTTAGAGTGAATTCACACTACGTGGACAAGAGAAATTTGACAACGATGTTTTCGGCATAACTAGAATTCTAATTGTAACACCCTAAATACCGGACTAGTGACTAAAGTATAAGATTTTAAAACTTAGTGCTCAATTTTGATAAGTAGAAAAGTTCAATTACTAACTGTGGAAATTTGGTTAGGGCTTATTAGCAAAGATAGAAAAGTGTAACGATAAAGAAGTCTTTTAGCTGGAAAATGAATTTAAAATTCATTTTAAATGAGATATTTAAAATGGGAAAGTGGATAAGGAAGATACATCTAGAAGCTTGGGTTTTCTTCTTCTCTCCCACGAGACTCCATTTCAAATGTGAGTTGGTTCAAGTTGGTTAAAAGCTTGGGATTTAGGTGAAGTGGGGGTAAAATTTGAAGTAAATTAAGAGAAATCTGGGCAAGGGTATCGATACTGGAAGAACAGTACCGATACTATAAGGGTAAATTGAAAGAATAATGTATGAATCTGATGAACATTATCAGTAATGATTTAATTAGTATTGATACTGAGGTGGGGTATCGATACCAAGAGTAAGGTATCAATACTTTTGTTAAGAATGAAATTCCAGAATGCCAAAATGGTATCGATACCGAAATGGGTATCGATACCATAGAAAAGAAGTATCGATACTGTAGGAGAGGTATCGATACTAATGTGTTGGAAATTGATAGTGAGAGTTTTAGTTCATTTTCGTAAATGGTACTTTGGTTATATGTTATTGTTAAGTAGTATTAATATTAGATATATCTACCTGTAGATTTGGATAAGAAGCGTATCAACCAACGCGATTCATCGAAGTGATTAGTGAAAGATAAAAAGGATTTTGTTTAGGAATTCAGTGAGGCAAAGGTGAGTGCCACTCATTTGATTTACATTAGATTCAAGGGCTACTTGCGATAAGCCAACCTCAGGGTTTTCGATCGAAAACCATTTTATTTCTTTCATGCAATATTTTATTTACAATGTTTTATTCAAGTTATATCTCTTAAGTTATGTTTCGATTTTTATGTGTACATGATTATGACAATGTGATATGTGATATATGCTTATTCGAAAATACTCGATGTGCAAGTGCTTATGTGAACAAGACACTTTGAATCAGGAAATGATAAATATTTATGTGGTTAAAAAACCCAAGGTATATGTGTGAGAATTAGAGGTATAGTTGGCATGCCAAGAGTCGAGGGTTCTATGTGGTCTTTCGAGACAAACCTATATGGTACTTCAGGATAATCCTATGTGGTCATTCGAGACAAAACTATGTGGTCCTTCAGAACAAATATGTGGCACTTCAGTACAAATTATGTGAGATGTGGTGACAACATTAGTGCACAATCTCAAAGTACTCAAATACCTAGAGTTCTCCATAATATACATTGGGCTATTGAAAACAAAGTTATATAAACTGAACCATGTATAAAAGTATACATTCTTGTTATGTGAAGCAATTTGAATTCCTTATGAAATGTTTCTATGAAACGAATAAAAATTTAGTTTACAAAATTTTATTTGACTCATACTTGCCTCACTAAGTCAATGACTTAGCGTGTGATTTTTTCACATGTAGGTTTGAAGAAAGCAGAGGATTAAGGATAGACGAGGACAATATACTACTGCAGGAGATCAGATCAGAACAAATTAAAGCGTAGGTTTCTTGTTATTTGTAAATTGTTGGCATGTAATACAAGCTTTAAATTGTAATGCCATGATCTATTTTGTAAACCTACACTTTTTGTATATATGTAAATTATTAAATATTTTATTTAAATGTGAATGTGAGTTTTCATTATTTATTTTAATTCAAGGGTTCCACCATTTTAGTACAAATAAAAGTTTAAATTTTCCACTATTTTTTTAGAATCAAGTATTCGACAAGTTTATGTGACACCTCGAACTCGTATCCGGGTCGGGTACGTGTTAGGGTTGTTATACCAATGAATACGAGTCAACATTTGTCCAAGAACAAAGGTTAAAAATGTTAACCAAATATAATATGCAATGGTAATAAAATGACTAAATGAATTGT